CTCCTAAGTTTCCTCAGAGATGTCTGACCAGCATTCTTAGCAGGATCTGTTATGCTGGAGGGGGTGAGTGCATTTCAAGATCATGCCTCTTTCTGACCTTTCTCACCCCTTTCCAGTCATTTTTTTTTTTCTTTTGAGGGAAGACTCTAAACTCCGGGAAGATGAATAATTATAAAGAGGATCAGTGGATATTAATGGAAGTCTTACTGAAAACCCTGGTTCAAACACAGATTAGAGTGAAATTGAGTCCTTGCCCTGGGAGATCTCAGAGTATAATAAACTTGGACTTTGGCTTGTTTAGAATACAGTAGAGTTTCAGCTGCCAGTCCTCTGGGTTACTTGTCGAGGTGTTAGTTTTTCTGTGTTCTTCCCTTTCCAAAATACTTCACGTGTGATTTCCTTTGATTCTGTAGGGCCACCCAGTGTCCAGCCTGAAGACTTCCTTCCCCTTTTGCATTGTCCTGTGTTGTTTGCTTCGCTCAGGACTCTCCTACAGTGACTGGCTCTACGTTTTAAAAAATATTGAAATAACAAAACCGTGATTGCTATACGTGTGAATATTTTGTATTTTATTTTGTTATTTTTATTTGGAAGTAAAGAGTACAGTGGTATTTATCAGAGGTCGATGAGGAGGGAGAGGTGGGGAAAGAAGCAGTATCTTTGTTCTGAGTCAAATGTATTTTTCATGGAATTACATTACAATCACAGCAGCCCATATTAATGGATCACTAACAGTGCACCAGGCACCATTCTAAATGCTTTTCATGTGTTAACTCAGGCCTCACTACAGTCTTTTGAGAAGATACTACTGTTATTATCATCCCTTTTTCCAAATAAGAACAACTGAGTCCTAGAGAAGTCAAATAATTTGTCCAGGACCTCACAACCAATAAGTGGCAGAACCTGGGTTTCCACCCGTGTGCAGAGCTCATCAAAATGGTCTTTTTAACCACTCCACTGTTCCTCAACAGTTCCATGTTCCAACTCTTCCTGCTGCTCCCTCCAGGCCAAGACGGCGACACCCCCACAGGCCAGCTTGGTGTTCTCCATGGGGCATGCAATCTTAAGGGGAATTGGAAGGTACACATCCCCTTCTCCTTTGTCAACACCCTCTTGTTTGCTTTCAGTTTTCCACATCCTTATAATCTATTCATCTTGTATTCTTCCGTCTCTTCTTTTCATTTTGTTTTTATCCTTTGCTGTTGTAAGGTGGAGACTTCACATAGGAGAGAATAGGAACTCACCTGTTCACGGTGCCCTCTTGGTCTAAATGCCCACCTTTACTCTGGACCTACAGCAGTGTGGCCTTCACTGAGTCTGTGTAGTATGACTTGTGGCCTGATCTCAGCCTTCTTGTCCAATCTTGACCCCTGCTTTTGAACTCAGTTTCTTATGCAGGCCTCATATTTTCCTCATTCTGGATGCCTGTCCCTCATCTGCAAACTTCAAGTCTTTCTTGAAATCCACGGTTGAGTATGATCTCTCCCCTATCTCAACTCCTAGAGCCCTGTGGACATCATGCTTTTGTTTTTATTATTACTATTCCTATTATACTTTCATTCCCATATTGCGTAGAGGTTTCTTATGAGTTTTACCAAGTTATTTGTGTGTGTGTGTGTGTTGAGGGGACACCTACTCTGGACTTCAATACAGTTGTCTTCAAATAACAGTTGCAAGAGGAATTCTTAAATTTATAAATTCTTCATAGCATCAGGAAAAACAATCATGATAGGGTTCAATAACTACATCTGATGAAAAAAAATCCATTAGCAACTAAAAAGAACTTTCTTAAGGCAATAATAATTCTATAGTAGAAATCTACAGTAAACACCATTTTTAATGGAGAAACTTTAGTTTGGATATAATCCCTTTAAGAAAAGGGAAAAGAAGGATGCCAACTCTCACTGCTATTGTTCAAGTAATTACTGGAGGTAGTGGCTAAAACAGCTCCTAGTGCCCTTGGCCGTTTGATGTTGTCACACAAGGCATGGGAGCCAAGGTTAATACTCATACCACAGTCCAACCCAGAAAATCCCATATGAGCACCTCTTCATTATTTCTCTCAACTGCTAGCCAATTGGGAAGGTGATGTCCGAAGTGACTTTGGCAGCCTGAAGAGGCACAATAAGAACAGGTCCTTACGTGACTGTGTGGAGCCAAAATCTCCCTTTTCCCTTTCTGGGTCCACACTGGAGAGTTATGTAAGCAGAACAACCAACTTTAATTGTGCAGCATCCTTAAATTTCAAACCTAAGCATTCAGCCTTCCTATTGCCCAAGAGCCTGGAAAACAACAGGCTTTTTGTTACAGTGGGTTGCCACCGAAACAAAACCCTGCCACATATGGCACTAGGTTAGACAATCTATAAACTAAGAAAACAAGTTATCCAACCCTTGCCATATCCAATACACAATGATGGAACTGGGTTAATATTTGGTATCAGCAAAAAAATTGGTCTCAAATGCTGGAAAGCAGCCTATTCATGCTTTTCTGAGAAGGCTGTAGAGTGAGTTTTGTCCTCAATGGCTTGGAAGGAACACTACTTGTCTTTTGTACCTATAGTTTAGGAGCAGTTAGAAAGAGCCCAAGTGTTGGTGTTTGCTGATGGTTATTTACTGCTTTTAACAATATTTTGAGAAAAAAAATGAATTCAAGAAAAAATATTCAGAAATTAAAGATCTCAGAATGTTGGAGAAACCAAAAATGCTTCTGGACCTAAAACAGTAGGAGATAAGACTGAAGAAAGCTTAGAGGAAAAATACATACCAGAACTTCTCAGGAACCAAAGGAACGTTCAACCTATGGCTAAGATGACACAGAATATATCATTTTTAAATCTGACCAGTTATTTCAGATGCCTCAGAGAAGCTGCCATTGTTTGAGGCAAAGATGAATACAAATACACACACAAAAATAAGGAGATTTAGAACTGTGTTTTGGAAATAATTTTGCATGCAGCTATAGGCAAATGGAGTGGACAAAGCAAATTGACTAGAAGTCACTGAAGTTTCTAAGAAATTTGAATTGCCAGTGTAACCACAAGTCTGGTTTGAAAAGTCTTTATCTATTTTCTCTAGAAAACAACTGTAACCCTATTAAACAATGAGTTGCAATATCTGTACAGCTCCTAATAAGAGCACACTAACACTACAAATGTGGCCATGGAATTAAACCAATCAAGGGAGAACCTTTCCAAGTGCAAGTCCAAAAGCCTGGAGAACAGCGGGTATTTCTTCTTCTCCCAGGGAAGGAATCTTCACAATGTTTGTCCAATAGAGGCTCTCGTTGCTATGATCCAATGACTGATGTGTCTTTCACATTCATCTCTCTTTTTGAACCTTTATTTTTTTAAATATTTTACTGCATATTGGACCCAGGAGGGCTCTACCATTGAGTTATATCTCCAGCCATTTTTAAAATTTTTATTTTGAGACAAGTTCTCCTTGAATTGCACAGATTGGTCTCAAACTTGGATCTTCCTGCCTGGGCCTCTCCAGTAGCTAGGATTACAGGCATGCACCACTGAATCAGATTTTTTTTTTTTCCTATATATTAGCCCAGTTCCACCATTGTGTATTGGATATGGCAAGGGGTGGATAACTTGTCTTCTTAGTTTATAGATTGTCTAACCATGAAGAACTAGATTTCAACCTAGTGAGAACACTATTCAGTAGCAAGAGATACTGGTTTCTAGCTACATGTTCTCAACTTAGAATCATAAAGATCCACAAATGTTCATAAAAAGGTAATTCCTCTTTCCCACTGTCCTGGAATATTCCTGCACCATTACCTGAGCAAGAAATAAATTTATGTGTTAGCAAAATTACATTTTGGGTCTTAATCTGCATTCATTAATACTATATACAATCAAGTAGGTCTGATAATGCAGCAGTATTCTCAGGTTATGACCATGCCCAAACTCAAACGGGTGGCAATAAACAGGCCAAGCAGGTTTGTATTTGGGATTGTGTTGGGGACCTAAGGATACAGGGAAGAACCTACTTAGGAGAAGAGGGCTTCCTGGGTGGTCAGGAACCAGGCAAAGGAGTAAGAATTGAGGTCCACTTTCCAATTCTGGGGGAGGATTTATAAGAAAGGGGGCCTCTGTTCTGGACATCATGAAGGAGCTGTGAAAATGTTTGCCATCACCCCAAGGCTCTCATGGTAGCACTGGGAAGTAAGAGAAAAGTAAACCATTCACATGTTACTTGGGGTCACATTTTTAGCTGTTTATCAGGAATAAGGCAAGCATACTTGGACCTTGAGCTACTATGTGATGGAAATTTTATAAAAACCTCAAGGCAGTGTCTAAAAAACAAATTGTTAAAGATTTTTTAGAAAAATAATTGCAAATGAATGAGGGAATAGCTCAGAGTTAGAGCACTTGCATAGCAGGTAGCAAGTCCTGTACTCCACCCCTGGCATTGAAAAAAATATTATCACATGGTTATCATTTCTCAGAAGGTTGGAGTCAGCCTAAGAAGTGAATAAGACTCTTACATCAGGGGATGTAGGCAACATAAAACTCACATCTTTTGCTCAAATGTTCCCAGTGAGACCTATTTGCTTTTCTTTTCTTAAGAAGCCCCCATGGGAACCATGGTCATTGCAATATGGGTGTCTAGTTCCTATCTAGAAATCACCCTTTTCCTAGAGCAAACTTAAAAATATTTCCATTCCCCTTTCTTAGAAACATTCGTTTTTCAGCTTTCAAAGGCTAATTTTGCAGAGTCACTGTGCATTTTAAGCACACCCCAAAAAACATATGCTTAGTGAGATATGATGTCCCTGGTCTTCAGCTTGGAAGTAGAGCCCTAGCTTTGGGATATTCAACAGGAGCCAGTGATGTTGAACTACATTTAAATTAGTAGTGCTGGTTCTTAAAAAACAAGAAGAAATGATTGAATAATGCTACCAATTTTTTTTCCAAATTTTTAAATTTATGCACTTGTATTTTTGTTTAGTTCAGGATAAACATACTACTTATACACACATTTTCACATGTAAACTTGTAATTTTTCCTGGCTGCCTAATTATCTATTTTGTTAATCTACTAATTATGACAATACACAGGTGATACTAAGTTTTCGAACATTAAGTCTATTTTTTTTGTTATTATCTTCTGCTACTAATATATAAAATAAATTGCAAAATAATAATTTATAAGTTTTTTGCAGTTTTGTGAAGCATATTCTTCAAAATGGAACTCCTGGGCCAAAATATGAATTTGGGAATACATTGCTCTTTTATTTCTGAGTAAATTTAGTTACAAACAATGCATAGGTAAGTTTTTTGCCATTATACTTTATTATTTTATCAGAAAATATTTTTCTACATTAATAGTTCTACAGTATATTAGTTATATTGAATGAAAAAGACTTGTAGAATACAACTAAATAACTCTAGTCATGTTTCCTGTGTCCTTCAAAATGTATTTTGTAGAACTGATCTTTTTACTGTTTCTCTGTCAAAACCAGAGTAGACTTCACTACTATTCTGGTTACTCTTAGGCAATACAAATGATCCACCAATTTCTGATTAAAATATATACATAAATACCATAATCTAAATTTCTATTCTGATTTTAAATTAATGTTTTTATTCTTGTTCTTCCTTGGATTTAGGATGTGGATAGTGTGGTCAACTCCTCTTTCTTCCTCTTGTTACCCAAAAAGCTTCTAACCCCTCTGGAGTTGGAACACAGGAAGAATGTTCTGTTTAGACTGATATCTTGGTGTTGGTCTAGCATTTTACACTTGGCAGAGATTTGTATCTAGACCTTTCCTCTGTAGGTGCTTTTGTGGGTTGCTCAGAATTTTCCCACCACTGGGACCTTCCTGCTATTCTCTGAGCTTGTGCAAACCCACATCTCAGTGAGTTCTCTGGACTTGTGCAAATGCATGTGTCTCCTGTGTTCTTCTGTCCTTAGGTGTCTGGCAACACTCTTCTTTCTATTAATAACTGTTCCCCAATCCAGCAAGTCATTTTCAACATGACCAAAGACAACCCATACCAGCGATTTTTTTTCCCCACATGGACCATATAAAGCCTACAAGAAACTCTATAACCACCCAAACCTGCAAGAATTCTTGTCACTCCCAGCTTCATAATGTCTCCTAATGCACTTTCGGAGCAAGACTAGGGTTACCTATTTCCCCTTCAGATTTCTCAAGTGACAAATTTCTCTTACATTCAAAGGACACATGAAAGCTCATCCACAGACCTCGAGAGCTCTCAACCTGAAGTGAAATGGGAGGAGACTCATTTATACTACTGAAGGTTGAACCCAGGGACCCTCGACCGCTAAGCCACATCCCCAGCCTTATTTCGTATTTTATTTAGAGACAGGGTCTCACTGACTTGCTTAGCGCCTGGCTTTGAACTCGTGATCATCCTGCCTCTGCCTACAGAGCTGCTGGGATTACAGGCTTGCGCCCACTGCACCCAGCCTTGACTTTTTAAGTGTTTTTTTTCAAGGAAAATTGTGTATCTTGCAGTTGCATTTAGGAGTTCCACAGTGCTTAATTTGTGTGTTGGTTCCATTAGTAGCTGTTATATACACATTGCAAGCATTTCTTTCATGAAAGCCCTGAACCTCCACATATTTTTTAACTAATTCTCTAAGGTGAAAGGAGAGCAACTTAGGTTTTCTAGAGAGCAGGATATATATATCAGATTGCAAATGTCCAGAGTGAGTGGACATTTCTTCTTGTACATCTACTCAGTTAAAGAGCATATGGTAATATTCCGATGACAATAGATAAAGAATGTTGGTTGTGAAGAAAAGAGGTCAGCATTCACCTGCATGTCCATGTTTCTTGTGGACCTGTTTGCAAATGCCAAGATATGGAATCTGCTTAGATGCCCATCAATAGACAATGGATAAAGAAGTTGTGATATAGATACACAATGGAATATTAATCAGCTATAAAGAAGAGTGAAATTATGTCATTAGCAGGAAAATGGGTAGAACTGGAGGGCATCATGTTAAGGAAACAACCCTGACCTGAAAAGACAAGTATCATATTTTTCTTTCATCTGTGGAATCAAACAAAAAAAAATTTCCTGATAGTAAAAAAGGACTGTTAGGGAAGGAAAGGAGGAACAGAGGGAGAAGGCAGAAAGGGTAGAAAGGGCGTGGACGTGATCACAACGTGATGTAAGCAACTCAGTGAAACCCATTAATTTGTATGATTCGCATGAGGTAATAATTATAATAATGATAGAAGAATATTATTTGCTCAATTTTGCACAAAAATGAGATGACCAAAAGAATCCTAGGAATTGCCTTTCAAGGCTAAATATTTCCATGGCGTATTCGGAGTGACCTCTCTGCAGAACTGTATGCTGCCTGACCCGTAACAAGCAAGAATTGGTCTCAGGTGACAATGATCAGAATTGCCATTTACTGAACACTTGGGTGGTGCAGGTTTACCCTGCAGACCTCATTTCATATAAACCTCATGACACTTCTGTAAGGTAGTTTAACTACATTAATCTTCGTATTATAGATAAGGAAACTGAAGTTACGTGAATTAATAGTGAAGGTTCAGAGGCTGGGGATGTCGCTAAGTGGTAGGGTATGTCAGGAGCAAGACCCTGGGTGCAATCCCTAGCTCACCCTCACCCCTACCCCCAACAAAAAAGAAAGTCAAGATTCCAACTTGGGCTCCAAAGTTCCTTTTCTTTCTACACTATGCCTGCCTGCCTGACTAAACCTTTTATAACATTGTTATGTACAAGACCATTTTAAATATTAGGACAGGGTTCCTGAAGTAAGGAACAAATTTTGTTAAGCTTCTCAGGGATTTAAAAAAAAAATGAATTAAAGTCCTTGCTCTCAAAGAATCACACTTAAACTGAGGGTGAACTTCAGATCCTAGCCGGGCTACAACGTGGGTAGGGTGACGTGAGGCCCCAAGGACGTGTTTCACTCTAAAAGCTGAAGGTGACGCTGTGGTGGCCAGCACAATCAGCCAGGTTCCCCAGAGTGTGTAAGATAGTCACAGGCCTAGGCAGACTGCTGGGCAGAATTGTTTATTTTTATCTGGACAACATGAGGCTTTGGGGAATTACTTGTGAGAAATTTGCTACGCTTGATAGGATAAATGCTTAGAATAAACCAGAAGACTAATGCTCAGTCACTTCATATCAGTATCAGTGAGACACTGTCACCATACTGTTTTGGCTGTTTATATTTTTTTTCTTCTCAATGTCCCTCACTTTTCTCTACTCATTAGACCCTCTGATCACATCCATACAAGAAAATACCCTGCACCGAAGAGTAAGATGTTCTCTCAACCTCACCAGCCCAGTCCCCAGTTTTAAGAAATTCAACTGGAGTCATTCATGGGCTCACGCTGCCTTCCCAGGAAAGATTTCTGTCTTACATACTTTTTTTCTTATTTAATTATTAAAAATACAAAGAGAGCAAAGGTCATTTCTTCCCACAAACACCAAATTTAGATGTGAAAAGTTCACATCAAGAAGGACAGAGAAACTGGCCAGAAAAGTTCAAGGAGGTTAAAGCAATTTGTACTTTAATTATCCTCTGAATTCTGTTGCTCTGGTCGAGACAGTACAGTCCTCTCATCTCTTATTGTCTGTGACTTATAAATTACTTTAGAGACAAGGTTAGTCTTATGTCCTTTCTTAGTTCAACATTTTATGTTTATTTTACAAAGTATACTTGAAAGTGCCTTGACCCTTGGGTCATTCATTGGATTAAATTAACCTAATAACATTCTTAAAGCTATTTCACAAAAATACATACCAATAGTCATGTTGTCTTCTTTTTTCACTCTTTATTTTAAATAGGTGATTTAATTCAAAAACATTCTCTGAAAATATGAGATTTAGATTTTTTTAAAATTTATTAAAAAATAAATTTATTTCCAGGCCCAGATATAAATACACAATTATTTACTTAATTATCACACAGCAATGTAAAGCAACATTGATTCTTATTCTTTTGGAAAATAGACTATCACAGGAAGGTCTTTCTTACCTTTATATGAACTTTTTAAGTTTGGCTCTAAATGAGTGACAGCTATATAGCCACAAAGCCTTAGCCTCTTATATCTAGAAACTTCTTTTAGGCAATTTAAAGCATTTTATTAATGAGAGAAATGGGAATGGGATGGATTAAAGAATTTAATTGAGGAAACATGGAGACAGCTATTAAAACAGCATGTCAAGTTTGTACATCTTGCTGCCCTTAAGAGTTATTAAATTTCATTCATGAGAAAATTCTATTCATTCTTCTCTTTCTCAGGACACCCTGATCACTCACACAAATCACCTCCAGTGGAGAACAACACAAGAGCCAGAGCTTCTGTTGGACTCTGCTGTCAGACAAGTTATTTTACATGGGCCATTTGTGTTTTTCATGGGAAAAGTCTTTTTAATTGATTTATTCATTAAATGATAAATGTATAAATGTGAGTGCTATTACATAATTTATGGCATTTTTCCAGTGCAAGCTTTATTCATGTGAGTAAACTATTATCATCATTAATGCAATACTATATCTTGTCTGTTCAGCAATGAAGGAAAACAATGAGGACTTCATTGACCCTGTAGTTTATTTAAAACAATGAAAGTGAACCTAAGAGTTTAGAAAGAGAAGAACTTATACTTAGAGGAGATGTTATAAGACCTTCGTTTGACAGTGCAATCATTAAGATTATAATAGGATAGAATAAGTCAGTCTTAAAAAATAGCAGATGAATTCAGCAGAAATTTTAGGTCAGATATCCTAAAGCAATTAATTATAAAAATTATGCTAACACAAAAGCAAGCATGCAAGGAAATGTACACTCTTTATCTTGAAGTATTAATGAGCAAAGATTTTTTTCCTCTTGGTTGAATCTCTGAAACACATTATGATGAAATTTGCTTCCTGAAATGGTACAACATAGGTAGCTACATAATCTACTGATGGTTCCAATTTCTGTGATCATTTTTCACTTGACTAATGTCTTTGAATTCTTCCAAAATTTGGCTTGGTGAGCACATTCTCTTTGGTTATTCTGTAGAAGGATTAGAGGCAGGAGCTATAAAAGAGTGGTACATGACATGGTTATTTTTAAACACATAAGGAAATCATTGCACAAAATAAATTTCAGGATTCTAAATTCTTACAGTTGTCTTTGAATATAAGTAGTAAAACAAGATGAAAGGCATCTCCATGCAATTTAGCTGTATTGGAGATTTTTTTTTTTGGGGGGGGTAAAGAAAACACAGTTTTTTTTTTTTTTTTAGCAAATCTATTCTAGAAGCCTGTATAAGAAACAAATATAATTATTCTGCTCCTACTGTCTCAAGAGCTGGGAAGCTAACAGGTAACAGAGAGCTGGTCTATGAGGCAGGCCAGAATGGGTTGAATTATATATGCCTGTTTGAATGACAAGCTCTCAAGGCTATAAGATCTTTTTTAGGAATAGCTTTTTTTTCTTTCTTTCTTTTTCTTTTTTCCTGCATGGAAACTTACTTCTGAGTTCCTTTCTGATTCTAGTGCATGAAAGAAGGGCAAAAATAAGCTGGTCTTCCCCATTGTACCCAGAATCTTCACCTTCTTTTTGGGAGGTTGGACTAATTTTTATGTCCCAGAGAGCACATTAAAGGGATGTGAGAGTCTTTACTATTATAGAAACAGGGCATTTTCCACTTTTCTCATATTTGAGTGCTATAGGAACTATACCCCAAACATTCCCTATGACAGATGGTCCAGTGGGGTCACATGTGGCAGATGACTTACTCTCATTCCTCACTAAGCACAAAGCACGTGCAAGTTCAAGGAGGTTAAAGTAGTTCATTACCTTAATTGTTCCCTAACATTGATTCTTGTTGAGAAGGAACAGTCACTCTCACCTTTCATGCCTTTGACTTGTAAATCAGTTTAGAAAAATATTTCATAAATGGACAAAAACATTTTCAATGATTTTGGGTTCTCTGGCATTTCCTGTGGGGGGGCATTCTGTTTTAGAACTCATTTCACAAACTTACTAAGATGCTGCGGGTAATTTCATTTACACAAATACAGGGAAGTTAAGGGAAGTTAAATGATTCTGCACTGGTTCGCCTGTCTTTGCACTGCCTTTACACATATGTGAGACATAAACAGAGAATGAATCAGAGCATTCATCCTACTGATGTGAAGTGCATGTGATTCCTGGGGACACTGTATTCTGTCTTCTTCTGTGGTTTTGCTAAGCTGCCCTTCCACTAGAACTACCTGACCTGGGTCATATCCATCTCTTCTTCATGAATGACCCCATGTGATTCCATTTCCAGAAACCTTAGCTACCTCTGCCTGTCACTCTTCTATCTTAAAATGACTCCCTTCAATAACCACTTCTCTTTCCTCCATTAGACTCTCAACTTCTTAAGACAGAGATTCATATGAGTACATAATGTGGGTGTAATACCCAGTCCACAGTAAGCATTTAATACATGCTTGTTGTATTTAATTGAATTAAATTTACAAGGGCATTCTAATACACTGTGGTGTATTAATTGCCCCAACTTTTATGGCCTACTGCCCAGAAAGTCAAGATTGCCTTTAAAAAGGGGGGGGGGGGGCGGGGCTGGGTTGTGGTACAGCGGCTCACCTAGCACGCTCGTGAGGCACTAGGTTCCACCCTCAGCGCCACATAAAAAGGTATAATGTCACCATAATAAGTAAGTAGCTCGAAGTGCACAGTAATTTAGGAAACAAAATATTAGGATTTAGGTGGCAATCCTTCCATTTTTAAAATTGCATCAAAACTTTTTTTTTTCTTTTTTAATAAGGCAGACAGAAGAGGGCTATTTTACAGATATTTGTTCCAGCTGCAGGTCTTATTATACGGTAATCAAGAGTGAATGTGGCATCTGACTCAAAAGCTTTTGTTGTTGTTTTAAGTATCTGCAGATGGAGTTTAATTAATCCTTTTAACTGAGAATCGCAGCTATTCCATTCATTCTAGTAACAGGAACTTCCTAAGACTGTGGAATTAGGTAATAATCACTGTTAAATTTTAAGAATTCACAGGATACTCTGCTGAGCCAAATCCTGCATGTAACTGTGTAGTGTGGTAGAGATCTTTCAAACTTTAACTTTTTATGATCCCAAAGTCTGGAAAACCTAGCAATTTCTTAGAAGGTGACGGTCCTTGATCCAGAGTGGAAACTGAAATCTGGAGGTTTTCAGGATCCACAATCTGGCATGAGTTTTGATAATTATGGGAAAAACTTGACTTGATTTTGTAGAAAGCAGAATAGATCCCTTTTGCTGAGCACTCAAACTCATTCCATAAATTTGTTCTTGGTGTGGACCTTTTCCAAAATAGATATTACTTGGGTTTACACTTCAGGCAAAATGTGCTGCGCACTATACAGTTTCTTAGTGACAGGTCATAATCAATGAAATAATTGCGATGGACTGGGGATTTAGAGAAGCAGGAGAAACAGCAGCCACTCCTCAGCTTTTATGAATTGCTGTCATGATGATATGAGGGTACATTTTCCCCCAAGGGAATACTAATATCTGGATTTGTTTTCAAAATGTAAAAATCTCCAACTTTTTAAAGGTTGGCAATAACTTCTCTTTTTGAAAAACACTATGTGGATCGATACTGTTCTGCACGAACAAAATGTACCTGCAATTCTCCACATTGACTTCACACCCTGGAGTGGAAGTGACAACAGGGTCCAGAGCTGGGCCAGCTGTGCAGAGGAGGTCACTGAGGAACGGAGCCTGCAGCTCCCAGGCTGGGCACTTAAAATGGCCGAGAACAGTTTTAAAGGCTTTATTTACCTATGGTAGCTCATTTAATCCTCACTAAGCTCTAGAAGGTTGATACTTCACTATCTTGGGAGCTTGCCTAAGGTTGCAACACTCATAAATGTTGGAATATGGATTTGAATTCAGTTCCTAGCTTCACGTCTGGAATTATTCAAATTATATCCACAGTTGGGTCTCCTAGATACATAACACTGCAGTTTGGGAAATAAGAAGTACACAAAAGAACTTGGTTTTTCTCTTTCACTTATATTTGATTTACTTTTTCTTTCTTTCTTTCTTTTTTTAAAGACACTCTGTGCCTAGGGAAGAATCTCACTAAGATAAAGACAATTTTCACATTACAAGAAAATTAATTCCCATTACAAAAAATTAATCTTATAAAAGTAACATTAATAAAATAGAATCTAAATGAATTCTGATTGGTTATCCCCTCCCCAGCTCAGAAAGAAATAGCTTACTAATTAATTTCCCTCCCCAAAGGCAAAAGACAACACAAATACCTGTCTGTCCCATTTCAACAGAATTTAAAGGCAAGTCTGTGTCTTCCAAGGAGACAGGTTTTATGACTGGTGGACTTTTCTATGAATAAAAAAACCAGAAAACCATTAGCATCACATTTAAAAATCAAAGACAATAAAAATTAAAACACCTCGGATTAAAAATATTTCTTCTACAGTATTTTTTTCCTTTTGGCTGAAATTCACTTTGCAGAGTTTTTTTTAATAGATATTAATAAACATTGATTTAAACTTACATTTACATTTCTAAATAAAATGTGTTTGATATTCAGTAGGTGCAATAGCACCCCATATACAGACTCTTCCATATGTCCTTGTTGTAATGAATAGTGAAGATAGAAATAAAAAGAATGAGGGTATGATTCCTTAGTTACGTTAACCAGAACAAAATTCTTCTGTAAACACGTAGAAAATTCTCTAGATTTTGCCAACTATTTCATTGACTTTTTCAGGTTTTGTAACACTGACCAAAAGAGAATACTTTTGGCAAGTATTCTCAAATAGAAGATGATTTTCCTCTGATATTTATACTTCAGACAGGAGAATTCATCTCATATTCAAATACTTTAAAAAATCTCTCAAAATTCAGGTTAATAAACAACTTTACTTGAAAATGACCATAGATCATAGGGTTGGGTGATTATTAAAGTTGCCTAGAGAAAGACTTTAAAAGGAAGCAGACAAGAAGCACTGTATGTAGATTTGCCATCATTCATGTTGATATGGCCCCACCACAGCTGTGTGGTCACCCCTGCGAATAAGCTTTTTTAAAAAAGAGTTCAGATAGTGCTTATGGTCTAAAGACCACAGAGCGAGATTAAGAATAGAAGATGAATGCACACCCAACTGTACCCATCTAATATAGTTAGGAATTTAGGATGTAGGATACAGATCCAGGGACAGCATCAAAACTACACAGATAAATGTTGTGTCTTAGGTGGAAGGTTATGTATTTTGGGAAGCTGTATCACATGCATTTAAAAATAGCTTTAGAGATTTTTAAAAATCACAGGCTAAAAATTCATGGGTAGATTTTGAAAAATCTGCTTTGGGAAATTTGAGAATAGTAAAGCATTAAAGTTTTAAACACATCTAAATATATAATATTATTTTAAATATTTTGTAGGCTAAGTAAATAGTATAAATAAAAAAATGACTATTTTATCTATATTTGGGAAAATAGGGGATAGATTTCTAAATGGGGGTTACCTTAAATTGGGAAAGGGAGAAGGAGGCAGAGGGGAAGAAGAAGCAATAATTCTGTTAGAGTGACTCAGTGACTTCATGTGTCCAATTGAGAAAAAAATTGGAGTTTGATGCAGTTTTGCTTCTCTATGTGTTTTAGTTGTATTCAGAAGAATAAGCCCACCGAAAATTGTTCACATCAATACATAAAGCAAAATTAAAAACTGAATTCTTACCTTGACTAGTCGCCTGACACAGAAAGAAATTAAAAGGATTGTTCCAATGATACCAAACATTACCGCAAAAATAATTAATATTATCACTGTGAGAGAAAAAGAGCAGGAAAATTACAAAAGTGTGAAGTGAACTACCACATATCAATTGAAAAATCAAACAGGTAAAATGAGTGATATCTCCTTGCCTGTTCAGAAAAAATACATAATACAGCATAATTTTATGCATATTTTATTTTCAAAAATTGGGATTTTTTACAATAAACTTTTGGGAAAATAGAATTCTGTGTGATAAAATTCTTTTTTTTTTTTTTAACCCAAGCCACAACTAGTTAATGACAGAAACAAGACCCCAGAGCTCTCATTTCAAGTCCTGTGCTCTTTAAAGGAATAATCATAGATGTGCTAAGTAGAAAATCTACCTTGATAGGGGGAAAACCACAAACACTTTCATGAGTTGAACATTACGAGAGAAAACAATGTTTTACTGTATCAAAGGCTATCCAAGGTCGGTCAATGGGTTGCAGAATCATAAGTTTGGTAGGAAACTGGCAGAAACAGTTTACAAATAGTAAATGAAGCCCAGGGAAGCTATGGAATCCAGGTCACCTCTACTCTGAGCTTGTGTTTCTTCCATAGCATTTTTATGCACAGTCACTGATACAGTGACCAAAAATATTTTCAAATCCATTATGAGAATGAAGCAATTTAAACCGATTAAGTTAGAGGAAATCTCCATATTCGTAAAGACAACTGAAGGCTGGGGATATAAGAGAAGACGGTGTACTTATTTGGCTAATTGATTTTGAAAAGGTCTATTCTTGATTAGAAAAGCAAAAGCAGCTTTTAAAAAAGTTCTGTCCTCCCATTGATGCTGTGTAGCCCCCTTGGCTTTAATGAATGAAATGGTGATGAAGTTCTACCTCCATTTTTTTTTTTTTCCCCCGTGTGAAATGTGGACACGGGCCAAATGTGAAGGAAGACTTGGAAATGCAGAATAGTAAACGAGAACATAAATTTACTGGCTGGATCCATAGCAGCACCTAAGGAGCAGGGAGCATCGCCAGTTACAGTGGAGGTAAAAGGAGCCCCCAGTGTGGGAGCCCAGGACCAAGATGGATCATGACTAAGGCATGAAGGGCGTGTGTTTAGCTTTGACACAGTGCCAATTGATTAGGTGATTTTTAAGCTCCTTGCTTTCTTTATGTTAGGGAAGAGGGAGGTTCAATTGTTTTTATAAGGGAGGAGACTCTTCTCATGGTCAAGTAGAAGTTTTTCTTAAGAGAAAATTATCAGGTCATGTATTGTTTTCCAAATTGTTTTAAAAATTAGAAGTGCTTCTGTTAACTCTTAAATGAAAAGATTTACTTGCTTTTACAACTTTCTGTGGCTAAGGTTAAGGACATAGACTCTTCTGGCTTTTTAATATGGCTACTTCTTGTTCCTTGGGTATTTAAAAGCAGCAATATGTAATTTAAAATGGAATTCTTATCTTTCCATAGCAAATGCAAACGTACCTGGTTCAGAGAAAGGGTGTATAATTTGATTTCTTCCTAAAAAGACAAAATTTCAACATAAATCAGAAAAGTAAGATATGTCTCAGAAACCATTTTTTAAAATTAGATTGTTTAGGGGGGTTCTTTTTCTTAACCATGCTTTACAGGTTTTTGGTCAATTTTTAACATCAAGCTAATAAAAATTATTAGAAGGTGTCAGTCTTACCTTAGTAATTTTAGTTTGCAATTTTAACTAACAAGTAGAGAAGTTTGCAAACTATTTAATTAAGAGAGAGGGTGTGAGAAAGTACTGAAAGAGCCACCTATCAACATCCACAAGAAGCAGAGCCTTTTAAACAAATGTAAAAATGACAAGAAGAAAGGAGACACACCAAGCAGCCTTCCACACTAGTTCAACCCAAAGAGGGGTCCTGTGGCTGTCAATTATCCAACTCTCTGCCCCAGGGCTGTCGGAATCCAAATCCTTATTGTGTCCCACTGGAGCTTCTACCAATGGACTCCCTGGATTTCCTGTCTGTGGAAGTTTCTAGAACTGCCTGAGGATTCTAATCACTTTAACCTTCCCCATCCATCCACATTTTGAATTTCTTTTTCTGTTGTCTCCACATGCCCTTTGGCACCATGAAGCCCTCTGACTACCAGAGCTACACAATTTTCTTGAATTCCATTATAAACCATACTTCACACTATGTTGTATCATGTGGACAAGGACTTGGTTATGCTTTGTCATTTTTTTAGCAGTCACATGTACATGTTCATTGTATACAGGTTCATTGAAGCTTATCCTGTCTTTCTTTGTGGCAGAGTATATAGGCTTTGGAGGAAAACAGATGGTTTTCAGTAATGTAGATGCCTCACTTAATTTATGGGTGCTTTAGTATTCCCCTGCCACAAAAAGAAGATTATGATGCCTATCTCTTCAGGTTCCTGTGAGGATAAATTAATTAATGCTTGAAAATATTTAGCAAAATGCCATGCTAGCCGTTGCTTATAGAATACATGGCGCATAGCACTGCATATGAATATCCATCAGGAGAGAGTTGTGGCACCTGCCAACCCTTATCTCAGCACGCAGCTTGGTTTACAGCTATCACTTATGAGGCACTGTGACAGGGCAGTGAGCTATGCACTTTGACATAGGTCCTACTTAATCTTTCGGGAAACACTGTGAGGCAAGCATTATTGGCTTCTTTTTAACATTATGGGATGGAAGCCCTGCAAAACTATTCACTCAAGGTCTACAGGGGAACAGGGCCAGCCAGTTCTGAGGCCCCTGGACCTGCCCACAGGTGTTCTCAGTACCACACTCTGGGATCACTTTGTGCGGGATGAATGGTCCCATTTGTCATTTCTGTGTTTTGTTAGACAGTTTTAATTTCTTTAACCCCTACTGCTATCTCAGTGTTACCTAGGTTCCTTAGCTGGATGCACAGTTTCCTGGAGGAGCTACAACATGAGACTTCCTCTGCAGTAGGCGTCTACTTAGCCTGTACTTCTTGGTGTCAGGTCCCATTAAGTAGCACTGTATCAGCATAAGAACTTCAGATCCAATCCTTAAAATAAAAACAAACCTTGTTTTGCTCCTGGGTAGGAGGGGTCTATGGTGGTGACAGCAGCCTCTTCATCACTCATTGTAGGAGGGACCTTTGGGGAAGTATTTACTGTATGAAATAGAAAATGAGAAAGGGGTCAAGAATGAGGTGACTGAGTAAACCCTAAAACATATTGCCAAAGACAGTTTTATTCCACATCCCTCCCAGGGCCAACTCCAGAATCCCTACCCAGCAGGGACATACAGATAAGGTATGACTCATTTTCTAAACAGCTGTAAAATGATAACACCTGCCTCAGCCTGGAGGCAGAAGGCTTTTTTTGCAGGCTTCCTCAGAGACAGTGTCACCTGGGATGTACCAGTGTCACTGCACGCTCAGTTTCCTGGGAAATCCACAGACAACTGTCACTTCTTCTTTGACACCTCTGCTTCTGTAGGGCGGAGTACCCAAATCAGCTGCCAGTAATCCGTTTGCCCCCAAATCATGGAGACAAGATTCATTGTCCCCAAACTGTCCACAATGTTTTCTCTTCTTATAACATTTTTCTTCACCTTGTTCTTTTACTTGGAAAAGATCTACATTTTTTAAAAAAATGCACTGCTTCTTATGCAAGTTGATAGGTGGCCTTTTCAACACTTTCTCACACCTTTTCCCTTAGTAGGACGCTTTGCCAATTTCTTACTCATGAATACTTGCGGGGTTATTAAAAGCAGATACTGAAATTGCTAATGGTAAGACTGACACATTATCTAATGAATATAAATCAGGCTTTCCACATGATTCCACTGCACATATATGAATAATTGCCACACAAATTAACTAAATATCATGCAAAATAATTGTTAAATGTTTCTAAATTCTTCTTTAATATTCAGGTATAAATATATAAATATTTTTTTTAACTACTAACCTGGTGACAGGGATTTTTGAGGTTCAGAAAATATTAAGATTATCATTATGAAAAGAAATATTTTCCTTAAAATCAATAAAAGAGTGCCCAAATTATAAAAATAGTAATGGATGAAGAAAAATAAACTATATCTCTTAGTAAAGTTAGATATGAGCTTTAGCTTACCACCTACTGCTAGAGAGTGGTGAATATGGGCTATCCATCATATTTTGTAAAGGTGTGCAGTTTGAGAAATTATATCTATCTATGAAAGTGTTACGAGAACAGATAGCAAAATAACCAGAAGAAAGAAATCAGATGTGTTGAAGGTCAGAAGCAACGGGCAGGCTTTTAACAAGAACTCAAGGTCAGCCTCAGGCTGACTGCACAGGAATACAACTGAAACAGGCACATAAAGCTTGCTCCCTCCTCTGCCCTTCCATTCCCAACCACCCCCTTCTATGATTTCTGCCCTTAAGCCTCCACTCCTGGTGTAGATCTTTCAATTCAGTGTAGGTCATTCACACTGGGGACACACCTACAGTCTCTTGTGAACACCAAATGGACTCTTCCAATACATAAAACTTGTTCCCAAGACTCCAGGGCTGGCTTGTTTAGAATATCCTCAGTACTAAACAGTGCTGGAACATGAAAGATGTCCAGTGAAACATGAATAGTTATAAGTGATCAAATTATTATAAGAGGATGAAATGATTGTGTTTGCAAATGAACAAAATGAATTAAGCCAAATGCCAAAGGGTATGTTATAGAAAACGAGAGCAACCATCAGAAAAATCTGTGTCCATAAAAGATGAACAAAACATTTTCAACATTTCCATGATGAGCACACACTTTTATAACTAGAAGGAAAAAAATCTAATGAAAACTTTGCATGAAACATAAAGATCAGAGTATTAAACGGTTTGAATGCTAAACGTTTAACTGAGGCCCTCTAGGAGTTCTGGCTGTGACTATGAACATGCCTCTTCCAGGTTTTCTAACTGTTCCACAGGACCTTGGGCACCACCCGAGTGGGGTTCTGTGGGACTCCACTAGGGAGATGCATTCAGTCTGTGGAATGGAACCTCACTGTTCTTCATGGACACCAAGGAGGCCTTGTGTTATCTAGTCCACACCTGCTTGATTGGACACTCTGCTCCTCTCTCTCTGGGGGTGGAAGCATGCTGTATGTTCCAAGCCTCACGTCCTTTCCATATCCAAACCTTTGTGCCTGTTCTTGTTGCACCAGAAATCCTTCCCTCCCCAACCTGGCCTAGCTGTTTTTCAAGTCTAGGTTCAATATCACTTCATTCAAAAGGACTTCCCTGATCTCCCCTCATTAGATTTAATCTGAAATCTCCATGAAGTCCTCAGTGCTCAGGGTGATAGGGAAAAGGCCCCATAAAGTCTCAAGACTGACTCTTTCAAATCCAGGTATGTTTCTTAAGCCTTGAAGGCTATTGAAGAACTTTTGTGTTCATTTATTTGTCCATTCATTTACAAAAGTTTTTTTTTTTTTTTCAAGGATATTGTAACTCAGTAGAGGACAAGTATTTAAGTCTACCAAAGTGCTTTAGGATGGTGAAAGAAGTGGGGGCACAAGGGAGACAACACTTAAATATTTGATGGAGAAACCATGGAAAGACCTCAAAAAGATGTTCTTTGAATTTATCTTGAAAGAGGTGTAGGATGTCACCAAGCTCACTGTTCTGGACATGCAGATATAGAGTCAGCATCTTCAGCAATGTCCTGGAATTTGAGATATCACTGGAAACTGGGAGAACTGCAAGTGACCTCGTGGCTGTGGCATGATGTGTGGCAAAAAAGAACTGAGATGTGGGCGCACAGCAGAGAGCAAGGCTGAAGCAGGTGAAGCACCACATGTTAGGAACCAGGCTTTGGAATGTGGACTTCATCCTTCAGCGATGAAAAGCCAATCGGGGTTTAAATCAAATTTCCATTTGGAGAAGACCAGGGTCAACAGCATAGAGAAGAATTCAACCTCAGCTGCTTAAGCTACTTTCAAAATTCAAGGTAAGGAAACTCAAACCCTACAATGTGTTCCCCCAACAACCACCAAGTGTGTGGCAAAGGAAAGCATGCCCAGACATCTGCATAAGAGCACCCCTCGTGTGATCACGAGTGGCCCAGATAAGCAGCCCCTGTGTGGACAAATCACCTCACCACCACCCTGGCCTTACAGTGGGTGCTTATCACTACCTGATGTTGCCTTCCATGAAGCTGGCCTAGGGACTTAGAAGGACAGAAAATTATAGCCATTTATAAAAAGGAATATGGCCAATGCCCCCAAATAGAATCTAAATCTCTTAAAACTAGCACTTTTATACTTTTAAGTATAAACAAAGTCAAAGAAGGTAAAAAGAATATTTTACATTTATAAGCAAAGCATATGTAACTTTGGGGGGGGGCAGTAACAAAATGAGAAAATGGTTCAGGAGAAAGACAGAAAAAGCTCATTAAATAAGTTTTGAACTTTATCAAAACAATTTTCACCCCCTAGCAAACAGGTAGAATATTCTTCAGAGGAAAAAGAGCATTGAGTGGAAATTTTGTTCAAAAGAAGTAGAAGTTGAAGTTCTAAAGATCAAAAACTGTGCCCAAGTTTACAGAGCAGAATTCCTACTCTGACACTGGCTTTAAAACCTGTCCTGTGGTGGGCCACAGTGCCTGTCTTTCCAACTCAGATGGAGGTACCTTCCACCCAAACTTCTAGCAAGGTTCTAAATTTTAGTCAGACCTGGGGACTTTCTGACATCGAAGGCAACACATTCTTTAGGGGAACACTGTCCTTGAGGCAATTTCCAAGAACTGTACACACGTTAGTCCCATCTGAGCACGTCATGTTTTATCTTTGCACTTAACAAAATGGATCGGTGGCCAAATTTGAGACTGAAATTTACCATTTATGGTCCTAAAAATACTTGTTTTGATTAATTCTTTAGATTTAGTTGCTTTGATACAATTTCTTTCCATAGTCACCTAAGTCAACACAGTAAGGAAATAAATGCACAAATGCTTATTTCCTTATTTTAATCATTTTTAATATCATTTTCTCAATAATCTAATAACAGTAGCTGACCTATAAAATGATCTTGGTCATAGTTTTTCCTCCATTGTCTGAGAAAGATAGAAAACCTCATAAGCATTCCAACAGGAATTATACCCCTATTTGGTTTAGCAGTAACAGGAGGGCACAGAGACTTGTTATTGAAAATCTGTACTTTATAAAACATTGTCAGCTTGAAAGAACAATAGCTCCAATCACAAAAATAAGCTTTTCTTTCTGCTTACATTTTTTTTTTAGTAATTAATTAAAACTTAAATAACTTGCTAGGTATTCCAAGATAAGATTCACTTGGGACAATTGAAAGAATTTTATCAACAATCCTCAAATTAAGTAAACCAGCATCTGGTTGGGAAAAACAAATCAACAACAAAAACCCACAGTTTACCTGAAAGGACAAACAAAAGAAATATTTGTTTATTCAACCTCAGATGCTTAAGCTACTTTCAAGATTGCAGGTAAGGAAGGAAACTCAAGTCCTACAATGTGTTCCCCCAATAATCACCAAGTTATGTTCAAATACTACACTTGATAGCAACAACCACACTTCCATCTGCCTGTCCTAAGTTCTAAGTCTCTGCTGAACTAAAAGACATCTGTGGACATATTCAGTTGTGCATGGCTCAAAAATATTTATGAATATGTAAATTTTGAACAGGGATTTCTACTAACTCATAGGAAGCATCCAAGCAAATTTGTAACTACTAAAAAACAAACGTAGTTTGCCTAAACTTCTTAAATATTGGGTTTCCTGAAGAATTTCTCTCTTCCTTTGGGTATTTTTTGTGCTCAGGGCTCCTAGCTTTCTGTACCTAAAACAGCATTCAGAAACTTCTTTCCATTGTTCCCAGTTTAAAGGTTGGCTTAAATATTATCCTGCTGAATTCAGAATGTACCTTTCAGCTAGAAGGCTATTCACAGAACACCTACTCCAACTCTTTGGTTTTACAAATAAGACATTTGGTATCATAAAAAAAATTAACTGATTCTCTAGCAGGTAAGGACAGAACTGAGACTCAGTCCTGCTGATTCCCAATGTTATTCCCACCTTCCAGATTTCTTAGATGTTTCAGCATATCTGTCAGTGAACACTGAAGGAGGGTTAGAGTTTTAGATGGAGATGTGCATGCGGCT